CGGGCCGGCCTGGCCCTCGTCCTCCGCGGCCGCCACCGTCAGGTCGTCGACCATCTCCCGCAGGGCGCGCAGCGTCTTGGAGTCGTCCTGTGGGGTCGGGGGCCCTTTGGGCTCCTCGAAGGGCGAGGAGAGGCCCGAGCCCTGGTCGGGCAGCAGCCCAGAACTGTGCGGCTCCTCGTGGGCCGAGGGGGCCGGCTGGCTTTCCTCCGCGGGGGCCACCTTGTCCTCCACCTGGGCCCAGTAGGGCTGCCGCTGCTCCAGCAGCTGCTGCAGGGCGCGGTTCTCCTGGGCGCGCTGCACCTGCAGGGCCACGTTGTCCTTCTTCAGCACCTCCAGGGACGTGCTGTCGCGGTGCAGCAGCGGCGAGGAGGGCCGGCTGTCCTCGCGGCCCTGCGTCGCCTTGTGCTCCTCCCAGAAGACCTGCAGGATCTTGTTCTCCTTGCGCAGGGCCCGGTTCTCCTCGCGCAGGGCCTTGTTCTCCTCCCGCAGGGACCTGTTCTCCTCCTGCAGCGGGTACTCCTTGGCCATCCTCTTGTGGTGCTGCTTGTGGTGGAACGAGGTGGAGGGAGAGAAGTAAGGTGACCGCAGGCGGCAGTCCTCGTTCACCCACCGCCCGTCCTGGAACACAAACATCTCGTCGCTGAGCTGCACCCGGGGAGGGTTGTAGTCCAGCTCGAGGTCCGCCTGGGAGGTGGGGCGCTCCATGGGGTCCAAGGGCCCGGAGGAGAAGCGGTTCAGCGGGTGCGAGTGCTGGCTGGCGACCCTGCGGCTCAGCCCGGGCAGGGGGCCCTGGCGCGCGCAGCGGGGGGTGCTGTAGAGGCTGTGGAGCCGCAGAAAGGGCTCAGCGGTGCCCCTCTGTGGGAGAGAACAGGGAGGCCGGCGTTAATGAGGAACTGACCCCGCAGGGCTGGCTGCTGACAGCCCAGAGGCCAGGAAGACCTCAGCAAACCCAGTCTGGCAGTCTGGCCTGGCCACTGTGGCCTCCTTAGCCTCTTCGGGTCCTCACAAGGAAACACAGTCTGACCTTGTCATTCCAGACAGTTCTGTTCTATAAAGTCACCTGGAAATCTGACTAGTGAATGCTGAACTCTTGCTCCTAAGGGAATTTCAGGGCTAGGTTCCTGTGAGCCTCTGGTGACAACAATTGAGTTAACTGATGAGTACCTAACTTTGTTTTTATGTGTGTTTCTGTTTAAAGTCACCTTAATGAATATGTATTAATGAACGCTGAAGTCATCACCAACAGCACTGTCACTTGTGCCTGAACAAAGCTTATCTAACACACCTGTTTTCTCCATAAAGCATGTCACAGCCTTCTTGTGACTAGAAACACTAGAGAGTACCTGGCTGGGAATGGCTTGAAAGCCACTTAAAAACGGCAAAATCACTCACAAATAGCAAAAGAATGCAAAAAAATAAACCATAGCACTTAGACTGCAAAAAGGTTTCCAGTATGAGAACTGAGATGAAAAGTCTCCTCAGCTGGCCACAGCATCAGGTGACTCAAATGTCCTGCCACTCTGTGCATGTCCGAGAATGGCCATAAACGTGCTGTGAGTATTGATTTGGGGGTTACAAACAAATTTTAGCGAATAGGCAGATTCGCAAATGTGGAATCCACGAATAACGAGAATCAATTGTATATGGTGGAGACTTAAGGCAGTCATTTTGGAGTCAACCAAATATTTTGAGTCCTGGCTCCACCATCCATCAGTATTTGAGCTTTAGTTTCCACAATTTCAAATTGGGGTAATTGCACCTTCCTCCTTGCCTCACTGAACTATTTTTAGGATTAAAAGAGGTAATGTTCAAAAGCACTGGCACACTTCTGTCACCCAAAAGGAGGAATAAACACTGTTCTCAAGCTACCTCAGCCACAGGTGTGTGACCCACACTTGACATGAGCAGAGGGGCAGCACCCCAGCAGCCACCCGAATTGCTGTGTCCAAAGTGGTGGTGCTACGGGTAGGTCAGCCCAGCCTTCTCCCTGCCCCATTCAGGCTCAGCCTCCACTGTTAGCCACCTCTAAGTCGGTCCTGCCAGCAGCCGCTTAAACATCCACCCCAGCCCCAACACGGTGCTAGGCTCAAAGCAGAATCTGGCTGATAGCTTTGGAAACGAAGAGCACCATCCCAGACGTATCACTGAGAGATGAGAGTTCAACACGTGATGTGAAGACAGTAAAGGCACTGAGGAATTCATAAGGAGGATCTCATGATGGTGGCCATGAACGTCAGAATCACAGCATAAAAAGGAGATTAGATCCACAGCATTTAAATCCAACAAGCCACTGGCTTTCACACTTCCCAGTACAGAAGAATTACCTGAGTGAATTTTAAATGCAGATCTCTGAGCCTCTCACTCTGTGTCTGATACACCCAGTCTGAATCTGCATTTCTAACCAGTTCCCTCGGGCAATTCTGGCTGAAGGTGGTCAGGACAACTCTAAGTAGAATGTGCAGTTTGCCTAGGTGAGGATTACACTGGGGTTAACGACCAAGGGGTCAAGATTGGGGGTCACCAGCATTCTCCTCCTGGTTCTGTCACTGATGGGCAGTTTGAAACTGAAAAGCTCTGTCACTCTTTCTGAGACCCAGATTTTTCACTTGTCAAGAAGAGGGAGTCAGACCCCATGATCTTCAAGGCACCCTCCAACATTAAAAGTCAATGAAATCTACCTGTCAAACAAAAATAAAACATGCCCTGCTTAGTTTACAACCCTGTTGTGAGGATTGAATGAGATAACAAATGTAAACGTGTTTTTAAAATTACCACATACCACAGAAATGTAAGGTATTGTTATCAAGAAAAGTAGATTTTACTAATGCAAGATTTTGAGATGTATTCAAAAGGAAGCGAACAGGTGGAATGCACGCTGGAGAAAAGGCGATGATTGCAGCAATGAATTTCAACAAAGATAAGATCATGATAGCTACTTCTAAATACACTGAAAGCATTTCATCCGAGTACATCACAATGCTCTCCAGATATCAATTCCTCACTTCTTAGGTTATTTCCACAATTTTACATATGGAGAAAACAAGTCAGGTTATCTGCATTATATACATGTGTGTGCAGAGAGATATACAATTTGCCCAGTGTATAAAGTTGGTTAGAATTCTTCAAGACTCGGAGAGCTAGATAAATAGAAGGCACAGTTCTATGCCATTAACTTTGCAATAAGCACATATCATTAACTTTGTAAGGATATGCTCAGTCTTCCAGATAGCAAGGGTACGAGGACATTCTGCAGTCGCAACCTTATTTACTTTCAATAAATTCAGCCTCCATGGTTTTCATATTTCTCAATTCGGAAAGCACATTGGCTCCTGTGGCTATGTCTGTGATCAGAATGAACCATGCAGTGGATAGCCCAGATTGTTTCCCTTGTAAGTTTAAAGTCCTGGGATCCCAGACTTCTGGGAAGATTAGCCAAGGCCAATAAGCCTCTCCATCCTTGCACCAGAACCAAGTCAGGGCTCCATGTCAGCAGGTTCTGGCTCTAGAAGATACTACCATGGAAAAAAATGTGGTTTTAGTCAACAATGTGTATCCCAATCCTGGCAAGAAATGGGAAGAAGGAAACAAACATTGAGCCCCAATTCCATGCTGAGCCCCAAGCTGAGCATTCTACCTACTGAATTCATTTAATCCTCACAAGACTGGCATATAAAATATTATTATGCCCATTTCACAGTTGGAGAAACAAACTCAGAGAAGTTAAATAACCAGCACTAGTTCTCTCACTAAGACCCCAAACCACTTCTGAGTCTCTGAACTTGTATGTGTGAAGCACACACATGGGAAATCGCAATGGATTTACCAAAGGACTTGCAGTAATTTGGGGATCAAGATACCTTTTCCTTAACTTTTTATAATGGAAATTTTCAAACATATATGAAAGGAAGAGAATAGTCTAATAAATTTCCATGTTCCCATCACCCAGCTTCACCAGTTATCAAACCAAGGCCACACTTTTTTCATCCAGACCTCTGCCCAATTTCATAACCACTTCCCTACACTGGGTTATTTGAAAGCAAAATGACTTTGTGTCATTTTATCCATAAATACATCAATGTGTATCTTTTTAACAAATCACAATATCATTATCACCCCTATAAAATTTAACAATGAACCCTTAATATCAGCAATACTGGGTCAGTATTCAAATTTCCCCAATTGTCTTGTGATTCCTTTTTTACAATTGTTTGGTTTCACTCCAAGGGATACTCTTCTTGACCCAACTGAGCATACAAATCACTAGTGCTTCTTACCTGTTCATATTTATATCCACGATGACCTTTAAATCATGCTGTTCAGCTGCTCTGTTCCGCATCCACATCTTAAATTTTCTCCCTCCCCTCAACAGAAATTCACTAAATAAAAACAACATGTGGCAGATCCCTAGCTATAGACAACCTGGGTATTTTGACCCTTGTACTTATACACAACATCAGATGACCTTAGTCACATCCTCTCACTCTCCCCCTAGGTCAGAGGCATTATCTTTAAGTGCCCTCTTGGTCCAGCTTTCTTTGGTCCAATGGATCTGCATTTGTAGTCTGGCACAATTATGACACCAGAAGCCCTCTTTGACCAACCTGGGTGGCATCTTGTCTCCTCCCTTAAATGGCCAACTCATCCCAAACAGACCTTGTGCCTTCTCTGTCTCATGCCCACAGCACCTAATCCAGGAAATGCTAGTAGAATATTAGGACCCCTTTACTTCCTTTACAGGAAACCAAATCCTCCCCCTATGACTGAGTCCTCCTACCTTTCCTCCTATCCCTTACAGGACCAAGAAGGTGGTCAAGTCCAGCGTTGCCTCATGGCATAGTTTCTTAGAACACATAAACTTTTAAAAAATTTTTAATCGTCATATATTTATTTGAATAGCTATTAGAAAAATATACCTATTTTACCAAACCCATAATCCTATGGAGAGTATTAAGGTGAGACTGAAGTAAAGCAGCACCATTTCTATTTCTGAAAATGAGAAGACTTAAGAAAAAATATTAAATATACTGGCATTTTCAGATATGATAAGAATCATAATTGAACCTTGGGAAAACACTGAGCCAAAACAAATTCTTTCTTTCCTGTAGTATTTCCCGATTCCAATCAGAGCTAGTTGGATTTAGTCCTCAAAGGAAAACTCTTTCTTGGTCTTGTGAAAATTTCCCACTCTAATTATACTCCCATTCTGAATGTTATCGCACCAATTCTTCCTCTAATTTATGTCAGTGAATCAACTAACATTAATTTGGCATTTACTGTGTCCCAAGCTCACAGACCCTGCCCTCAGGGAACTTTCAGTCAATTTGAAAAATCAGTGAATAGCACCAGTCATTTCCTGGTGCAAATGAGAGAGGGCAAATGCAGCAAGCGTTAAGACAGGCAGCAAGGTGTGGGCAACGGGACTGGACGTGACAACCCCTGAAGAGTCCTGGCTCTGCACCATATGAGTGCATGACCTTTACAAAGCCACTTAATTTCTGTGCCTCAGTTTCCATATCTAGAAAATGTGAATGCTAGTGTGATTCAGGGCCACCCCATATGTTTTCGCTGGTAGTACAATGCCCAACTCTAGGGGGTGCCATTCACAACTGCTGTTCCAGTACACAACCTGTGCAACCATCTACAGTGACCTCTCCAACATCAGCTCTACTTTTTCAGGGGGGGGTTGTAGAGTTCAAAAATAAAATGAGAATATGTGACGAATTCCTTGTTCATAAAGAGCATACAAGAAGGGCTACTGCATTCAGAAGAGAAGTTGCTCAGCATTTCCTTAGAGGAAGACTGTATAGAACAAGAAATATGAAATAACACTTATTGAATGACTATTATATGTCAGATGACATGCTAATTGATTTCCATATTCATATGTAATATCTTATCCATGGTTCTTTCTACCTAAGATCACATAACTGGCAAGTGAACAAAGCCAGGGTTTAAAACCAGGATATCTGGGCCGGCCCGGTGGCGCACTGCTACAGTGCACCGCTTGGGAAGTGCGGCAGCGCTCCCGCCGAGGGTTCGGATCCCACATACAGACCGGTTCCCACTCACTGGCTGAGCGAGGTGCGGGCGCAACACCGAGGGTTGCGATCCCGTTGCCGGTCCCGGTCCGGTACGGGCGCGACCCTACGGGCGTGACACTGAGGGTTGCAATCAGTTGCCGGTCACGAAAAAAGACAAAAAGGAAAAAAAAAAATAAAACCAGGATATCTGACTCTACACCCCATGCTTATTCTAGCTCTTCACATTGCCCAGGTATTTTATTTTGCTTGTTTTGATATCATTACATTGCAATGGTTCTCTTACATCCTGTCCCCTCCTCTTCCCATATGAATAAGCTACAATTTTCTAAGAATAGTGACCTATCCCTTATTATTATGATTATTATTATTTTCAATATCTCTAATTCTGAGAATTAGAACAGCAAACTTCATATACAGTGGGAGCTTAATGAGTCCCTGGCAATGAATGAATCAATCAGAATGTACTGCAAGGCTAAGAGGAAATATTAGGTTGAACTACATGAAACAATACTCTACCATTTTTGGCCTACAAAAGTGGTAATTTCTTTTGTCTTAATACTTATATATTTAGCATATTTGTTAAAGCTATATCCTCATTTCAATTCATGTTTAAAAACTTTAATATCGTCCCAGGGCAGAGTTGCTACTGCATGGTACAAAATCTGTGACAGTGGGGTTTTCTCCACGTGAATTCCGCAAAGCCCTAGGTCCATCTCTGTATTCCCCTTAGAGGAAGGTGCCCCTGCACACAAGCAAGCTAGATGTTTGTCTCATCACCTTGAACCCCAAAGAGGGTAGAGACCCCAAATTCCCAGTAGCTTTGGGCTCAGAAGTTCCATCTTTGAGTACTCTTAAGAAATTTATTTCACTTCTCTGAATGTCACCTACAAAATGAGCCCAAGTATAGCTACTTCCCTACTTCCTGGGGTTGTAAGAGGACAAGAAAGTTGTAGGCAAGCTGTCGAAAAGTCCAAACGAACAGTTCTCCTGGTAAGGTTAAAACATTCCTGACCTAAAGCACTATAGCAAATGCTGAATATATTACTTTACAAAAGGGCTTTCCAAAAAGCATCAGAGCACCTGAGCTAAGCAAACACACTCAGGTACAAGATCTTGGGCCTCTTCAGTGTACATTCCACACCAGTTTCTTCTTAGTAATCTCCTTGGCCAGTGGTATCACTAGGTTGGTTTCATGGGCTGAGCTAATCTTCCCTGACGTCCTTGGGCCCTGACAAGAGGTCTGTGCCAATAAAAAGCCCCTGGCACACCCTGAAAAGTTTCTCCCAAGTCTGGGAGGTAGAGCCTATGGCAGCACGGCCCAAGTTTCCCATGAAGGAAAGGATAGTCTCCTTCCTGGTTTCTGGGAAATGTCCTCACACAAGGATGAAGACCCAGTAGGTGAGAAAGAGAAAGGTTGTCTTCTTCATGGAAGACTGGGATATGGAGTTAGGGCTCTTCATGCCTTCTCTTTGAGTGGTGTTATAAAGGTGACCACGAGACTCTGTCCTTAGGAGCAATGTGCTCTCACTGTGACCGAATGACACATTAGTGCTGGGTACATCAGGAGGGATCCCAGGCACAGACATCACCTTTACAGATGCCTGAGATCCCACCTATGAGTTGGAGTCCCTCCTTAGCATTAGGCCTGGCCCACTCTCTGGCATCTCCTTTCTAGATGTGAGCAATCCTGGAAGGAAAATGCTTGAAATCACCAACGATCACATGCCTTTGTCAGCTCACCACCAAGTGGAGAGCATGGAGGGAGAGCAGCCACTTGAAAGAAGGGAGGCAAAGACCAAAGGCCAAAGGCTGAAGGAGAGGTGACAGGACCAAAGTCTCTTACTGGTGCTGCAGGATTTCTACGGAGCAGGACTGTCTGGGTAGGACCTTCTGGGATGGAGTTACTGGAGCTGGCGACCTCCCAACTGAAGAGTTTGGGGACAGGACTGGACAGTAACGAGCAAGACTTAGCTGACATGCACTGAAGTTCTTCTCCCCACACCTGGAAAAGTGTGGCTCCCACAGCCCAGAAGAGATGTCCAGACACTCCTGCTACAGTCCAAGCCCACTGACCAAGTTTTTTAAACACCTACTTTGATGACATTACTGAGATGACCATCAGAGAACATTCCACGATCCCAGATACTTTTAAGGGATGTGAAGCTGAGAGGCCCCCGGATCCTGGCAGGAAAAGCCAAATATGCTCCTAATTTTCAGGTGAGATGACAATGGTGAGTCTCATTATCACTTTTTTGAATTAGCTCAGTTCTGTAGTACCATGATGAAGTTGATGTTTGTTTTAATAAACACTAACAGGTAAAAGGTAATTTACAAGGTAAACGTGATTGATTTTTACAATGTTAACAGCAAAGAGGATTTAAAAAGATGTCATGTGTGGTAGTTTTAGCTAATTGTTTAACACATAATCGCCTAAAATATTCTTTAGCACAGTTTATTCAGATTGGTAGAGATGTGGGTGCTTTCCATCACTTCTGAAGAACGAGCCCAAAGGGGAAGGAGAAAAGGCAACAGGGAGAGATGAAGTTCTACAGGAGCTCGTCCAGATCTGGTATAGATCCTTCAGTAATGATCTAGAGTAAACAATGCCTTAATGAAATTCACAGAGCCAGGAAATGTGAATGCCTGTGAGAACGGAATCATTCTGTACAAAAGGAGCTAGCTTGGGCAGGAAATAATGTTGATGACTTGAAAGTTAATGCACTGGAGGGAAATAGATCGGAAAACAAATATTTAATGTGAGAAAGAAAAATGGGAAATCAATAAAACCCAAAAAGACCTAAAGGTGATAACAAGTAGTGGATCCTAGGCATTTGCAATGTAATTGAGTAGCCTGAATGCCCAGCAGGACTGGGAGCTGGGAGCACTTTCTGGAGACACAAAACTGCTGCTGCAATTCCCTCCTAAAAGGAATGGCCTCAGTCCCAGAATAAAGCAGCATGTGGCAGACACACGCAGGGAGCCCAGGGATGAGAGTTAATACAGGGGAAGAAGAGGCGCTATTTCCTAAAAGCAAGAGAAGAATCACAGAGCTAAGTGAGATAAAACCTGGCCAACCCAGGTGGCATATGTCCAGCTTGTGACATAGCAGTGAGTGTGGGCACTGACCTCATGCCCCTAATTCCTACTCTGCCATTACTAGTGGAGTTCCTGGGGTTCCCAGATCCCATGTGAAAATCTCTACTTCACAATTACATGTCCCTGTGCTTGACACATGATCCGATCAGCACTCAGTCAATGTTTTTTCCTCCGCTTGTTTCCCAGATCAATCCTATCCCACAAGCCATGAACCATCTGATTTGGGGAGGTATAGCCAGCCCATCAGTCCCTCTCACAGCCCTGGTGGTGGTGTGGTTCAGGTCATCTAGTTAGAGACGCCCACACCCCTCCCCCGGAGCTCCAGTCTAGAGCATCCTGCCCTGTCTTATGGTTTGTATCCTGTGGCAGGTGTACCCACAAGGCCACATCTGCCCATGTGGAGCACACATGCCCAGACAGCAGATATCCTCTCATTCCACACCCACCCTGCCCTCCAAGACCTCAGCAGCTGCACCAGATCCTGCAGCACAGGAAGTGGGCAGCCTCAGAACAAGCTTGAGCCTTGTAAAACCACCTTTTCTCTCCTTGACTGCTGGGCTATTTCTGGAAGCTAGGGAGGGAAAGTTGTGCTAGTGTGGATGGAAGAATCTTTCCAATCGATCACATGACCACTACTGTTCAAAGCCTATTCTCACCCCCAGGTCGGCATCCTCTGCCTGTCCCTTAGCAATGCAAAGACTGGTTTAGGCGTGCTGTGGAGGAACCTGAGGAGCAACTCCCACCCTTGTGGGGAACAGTGGCCAGCGGAACTCCATGTGTGTTTCAAGTGAAAAGAATCAGACCTAAAGAGGTTCCTACAGCCAGAACCTTAGATTCTGGCTAAGCTTCATAAGCTGAAACAGATAGAAAAGTGGTTGTTCATTATAAAGTTATATGGATAATGTGAAAACAAGCATCCAGAATGTTTTCTTGTCCTGTATTTTAGCCTCCTGCTGAATACACTTGCCTAGGTTGTTACAATTCTATATTTAGGATGCCCACTGGTGATGGGTCCTCCTCCTGCACATCCCTGGACAGAGCTTTCAGATAATTACCTCTGCATTGGATTCATCCATACTGCATTTCGCCCCCTCTGGTTGCATGGCTGTGGTCTTCCAACGGGGCCTTAGGTGACTCTGGAGAGAGCAAGGCCAGCCCTTTGTGACATAGCAGCAGAAACAATCCAATCAAGAGAACACCACCAAGGAAACAGCTGCTTGCAGGAGAGGACCTGAGAATCTCAAACCTGTCAGGACTTCACCCACTCACTGGCCTCAAAAAAACCATGCCCATCCCCCATACACTATGTTTGGTACATTAACAGGGATAACTCTCTTGATGACTCCAAATGACTCTGTACCCCTGGGTTCACTTACTAGGTTTTCTTCTCACGGATTCATTCTTACGTGTTTCCACGTCTCAGTTCTAATTCTCCCCCAGAACTCCAGAGTGGTTGCATAAAAGCAAGCACCAAAAGGTTGGGTTTTGAGAAAGCTGGGTTATTTCAGAGTATCACAGAATAGAAACTTCAAGTGTTAAGAATGTAAGGTCTTACCAGATCGTCTAACCCAGCTCCCTCAGTCAAGAGAAGAGGAACCCAAGGCCCAGAGAGGCTACGTGGCCTCTCCCAGGCACACAGCTGTTTGGCAATCAACCTATGACCAGAATCAAAGGCCCTAATTCCTGTGATTATTCTACATCTTGCTAAAGTTTTGAAAGGGGAGGGTTGTTGTGGCTAAAACTGATAGGTTACATTCTTCTGTGATTATCCCTACCTGAGGTAGAACCACATTGATTGGAATTTCTAGGCTTTCGGATCTGGTATCTCTTTTTCTTGTAAAATTTGGCCTCGAGTGCTGCGGAAAAAAGAAAATAAGATTTCTGCTTTCCAAACATCTGGGCGTCAATTGCTCACCTGGAAAACATAAGACTTTCTACTCATTTATTCTCCTCTTGTCAGTCATGTACATTATAAAAATCTGAGTCTGCGAGAGTGTGTAAATGATATCTGATAAGATGCTTTATCAGTCTCTGAACAGAAATTAAGACAGATATTATAGCTGATGTAAAAGCCTTTTGAAAGTCTTCGAAGCAGAGATAGCTATCCCTACTTCCTTGTCTAAGATTATTATTTCTATCTCAATTAAAAAGCCATACCAATGTGAGGTGCCAAGTATAGGTCCTATGCAGAAGTTGGTCCCCAAAACACTCAGAACATTCCAGAGGTGACATCACAAAACAATATGGTGTTTTTCAAGGTTCATGGTCTCAGTCTGAGCATCACAGGTGGGAATGAGGCATCTGACAGGCAGGAAGAGCTTGCACTGGCTGTGACCACATGGCTGGGCAGGGCCAGTGTGACACATAATAGCCCAAGCAGAAGTCCCTGTTAGGTCATCCTGGCTGCTATTCACATCCTCACTGCCAGGCTAGGTTGAGACCCCCATCGTCTCTGCAGAAGTACCATCTTCTACTTGGAGTGTGAAACTCAAAAAGGAAGAAGCACAAACAACTCTTCCCAGACCCAGGGAGGAAATGTAGTCTCAGATGTTTTCTGACATCACCCAGTTCAATTTTCTACACCAACTGGGTGTCCTACAATTCAATTCCATTCTGACACCATCTACCTGAGTTATCATCAGATCTCAAAAGTTAGGGGTTCAGCCCCATAAGACTACCTTCACTTCAGAAGCCAAACACAAGTCTGGGCCATCTGTACTTCTGACTGAACTGCTATAAATTGGGAGTTCTCACCATCCCCTCCTCAAGTCCAATAATTTGCTACAATAGCTCACAAAAATGAGGAAAATACTTACGATTGCAATTTTATTATAAATGATACAACTCAGTTACAGCCAAATGGAAGAGATGCACCGGGCAAGGTATTAGAGGTGGGGGTGGGGGGCGTGGAACTCCCAGGCCCTCTCTGGACACACCACCCTCTCAGCATCTCAGTGTGCTCATCGAACAGGAGCCTCATTGAACCCCATTGTTTAGGAGGTTTGTGGAGATTCCATTACATAAGCATGATTAATTAAATCACTGGACATTGGTGACTGAACTCCATCTCCAGCCTCTCCCCTTCCCAGAAGTAGGGGTGGGGTTGCTGAAAGTCCCAACTCTCTAATCACATGACTGATTCCTCCGGCCCATATCCAGTCCCCATCCTCTAAGAGGGATCTCATTTGCATAAACTCAGGTATGTTCCAAAGGGGCTCATTATAAATAACAAAAGACACTGTTATCACCCAGGAAATTCTAAGGGTTTTAGGAGATCTTCACCAGGAATCAGGGACAAAGGCCAAATATTTATTTTGATTATATCTCATGTAGAAATTGCATCAAGACCACAATGCCCAGCCCCTCTGTCCTCAATTCTGTCAAATTGTTCACCTCTAGAGGATGTTAGTGGGAGCCTTCCTATGTATCTTAACCCTCTTTATGTAGCCAGAGAGCCCCAATTCCACATTATTATGCCATATGTTGTGTGAAGAAAGTGGTAGAGCAGGGCCAGCAGATCCAGAGACACCATAACTACCCACTTGAGTCTCCCACACCCAAGTTACAAGCAAGCTTTGCTTTAAGAAAATTCAGTATTTAGTAGTCCCTCAGTATCCGTGGGGTATTTGTTCCAGGACACACCCCAGCACCACAGACATCAAAATTCACAGATGCTTGAATCATTTATATAAAGTAGCGTAGTATTTGCACTTAACCTATGCACATTCTCCCATATACTTTATATCACCTCTAGATTATTTATAATACCTATGGTGTAAATGCTATGTTAATAGCATGACTTTTATAAGTAACCTAGGGATGTATTGGGGTTTTTTTATTTGTATTATTCTTATTGCTGTATTATTTTTTTTTCCTGAATAATATTGTTGATCCAAATTGTTTGAATCAGGAGATGTGGAACCTGTGGATATGGAAAGCCGACTATACAAATATTTAAAGATATAACTATGGAAAACCACAAAGGTGATTAATTCCATTATCAAAGAATTCTTCATTTTACAAAGGAATGTCCCCAAGGGTTTCTTTAAGTGGTTAACTCCCACACTGTCTGTAAACAGAATACTGTTTTCTCTTATACATGTGCCTCGTAGAAGCACCTGCACATCCACTGGGTGGATGTCACTGAGGAGTGGAGGCCTGCAAGGGGCTGTGTGGAGAGTGGGCTTGCTGGGCACTGGGGCCGAGCCAGGAAGACTCAACAGACAGGGAAGTAGCTGTTATTTATTTCCTAGGTCTTTCCTAACAAGGACCATTAACCAGATGGCTTGAAACAACAGAAATGTATTGTCTTGCAATTCTATAGGCCAGAAATCCAAAATCAAGTTATTACAGGAGCCATGACACCCGTAGGGAGAACCCTTCCTTGCCTGTCTCCTGGCTTCTGCTGGGGGTCAGAATCTGGTGGGGGTGTTCCATGACTCGTGCTGCAGCACTTCAGTATCTGCCTCTGTTATCAAATGGTATCTCCCCTCCCGCATCTGTTCTCCTCTTCTTAGAAGGACACCAGTCACACTGGATCAAGGGCCCACTATCCTCCAGTCTGACCTCATCTTAGCTGATTACATCCATAATGACCCTATTTCCACGGAGGATTTCAGTGTATCTTTTGGGGGGACACAATTCAACCCATAACAGAAGCTGACATTAACTAAATGCCTAGCAAGCACCGGCACCATGCTGCTTTATATATCACTTAAATCAGAGTCACCGGGATGTGCGCAAATCCTACCCTCTTGGGCTATAGCTCCACCCTTGGGATCCCTAAACCCATCACCCTGGACCATCTCCAGCAGGTTCAGTGAGCCCCTTCCTCCCCCAGGAGGGGCCTCTAGTGCCAAGGAGCACCAGATCTGCCTTGGAAGCTCCATATGGACAAAGAAATCTGCTAGTACATCTGGTAGATTTTTATCACTATTATATACATGATATTATTCATATTTAGTTTTATTTCTGCTATGTTATTTTGCCTGCTCTTAGTCCCCTCCGCCTTCTCCACACTTTTGGCTGTCTGATGACTAGTTCCCTCCAGTGTGGTGAAAACTTAACTCCAGCTCTGTCCTGAAGGCTATATCTGAAGAAAGATACACCCCACCCCATTTAAGTCCCTCTGTGGTTTGCTAGCATGATCCCAAAGGGAAATCCATGATATCAGGGGTGGCTGTGGTACGACTGATTCCTAGAAAGCAAACCTCGCCATTGGATGACCTTAAAAACTCCCAGGGTCCAGACAGTACAAATAATTTCTTTTCCCATTGTGCCACAAACCCATCCTACAGAGACCTTCTCTGATGGGCATAGCGGAGGCCCCTGTCTTTGTGCACTTCCCCCTCCCCCACCCTCCCCCCGACTTCTGCCATAGCCCTCTGCCTTTTTTCCCCAGAGGGCTGGCTCCAGGTGAAGGGGCAGCCCAGGTCCTTCTGGGTCTCCCAGGGGAATATGTTAGGCACCACAGCACCTGTGGCTGATGCTGTTGGCTCTCACAGCACAACAGTGTGGTCCAAGACCCCCCCTGTCCTGCAAGGGGGGCACTGAGGGAAGAAAAACAGATGGATTCATGAACTGTCCTGCCACATTGGTGTGAAAAGAACTTCTTTTACTGAACCCAAAAGATAAATATAAATGAACCCATCGATAAAAATAAATGAGGCTGCTGATAGCAAGGTCACAAACAATGGCATCAGCAGAACCGTGTGCAAATCTGGAAGTCAAGCCACTTTCTTTATGTCTTAGTCTGCTGGGGTTGTTATAACGAAATACCACAGACCAGGTGGCTTAAAGAACAGACATTTCTTTCTCACAGTTCTGGAGTCTGGGAAATCCCAGATCAAGGTGCCAGCATCCCAAGACCCACTTCCTAACTTGTACACGGTGCCTTCTCTCTGTATCTTACATGGGGGAGAAGGTTCTGGTCTCTTTTCCACTTCTTATGAGGACAGTAGTCCCACCCTCATGACCTACTGTAAGCCTTGTGACCTCCCAAAGGTCCCATCTCCAAACACTTTCACATGGGCAGTTAGGGCTTCAACATACATATTTTAAGGAGACACAATCCATAACACTTGAACAAAACACCTCACCTCTC